ATTTACTACCGTCTTTAGGGAAATGTTGAATCTAGAGATGTTTGTACCTGGTAAAACGCTGTTCTTTTGTACATTATAACTTATAAGCAGTCATGGATGTATTCCGTTTGCTACTAATTTGCATATTGCTGTGGAAAATGATTTTCGTTCGTATGGTCAAAGATGTCTTCACACTAGTTTGTAGCGAACGTATTTTGAGACCACATTGCTGTTTTTATTATTGAACAATCTTGCAAAGCACTCTGACCACAGAGGTATGGTATATCTAAAATGAATATGTAAAGGATTATTTTGAGGGTAAAATTAATATACTTATAATGTTGTTTATAATATAATGTGTTAACTATATAATTAATTTTTTTATTTAAGATTTTACTTGAGATATTATATATCAATATAATTGTTTATGTTGATAGAGAAAATGGTTTAAGTTGTGACAATTGCTGCTGTGAACATGTACTTTTCATAATTAAATTTAATTCCAAAAAGGCTTTGTTTTTGTTCTCAAATTATCCGTCACTAATTGCTTGATTCCTTTTAACCAAACTTTAACCAACCAAATAAAATTTCAATCACTTTCTCTCTCAAGATTCTCTAAGAAGCAAAGACACAATTGATTTCAAATGGAGCACAATATGCTTTATCATCTCTTTAATTTCTAATTCATATGATATTCAATAGTGAGTGAGCCAACTAGGATCTAAAGTGGAGATGATGATGGCAAGTTGGGGTCCTAGGACTTTAATTTTGGAAATAAGAAACGTGCTTCTCATTAGCAATTACACATAATTCTTTACAAAGCGATTAAGTTTCTTCTTTCCTTAATTCATTGTTTTTATTTTCTCTTGTAATTTTTAATGGGTTGTGAAAAATCAAGACGTCTTGGTGTTCAGAATATTTATCACAATCATTGGTTTCGTGAGTTTCAATCAAGAACTTACTTATTTAATGATTGCAATGAACTTTTTTATATTAGAATGTCTTGATTTATATATATATATATATATTTTTTTTTAATTCTAAAAAATGAGTTTTTTTTTATTTCTTTTTAAACTTTAACTTTAATAGAAATAGAAAGTAAATTTTAGTTTAATATCTTCTAATTCTAAAAGAGATCGAACAATTTGGAAGAAAGAATTTGGGAACAAATACAAAACCCTTTTAGAATTAGATTTAATTGTGAAGGCTATACATCAGCAAACTACATGGTAAAACCACATAGTTCGCAGCCGCAATTGTAGATGCTTATATCATTTTCCACGTGAGGTGATCATGCAAAATAACCATGATAACCACTTTTTTTTATCAATTATGAGTCTTCTTTATTTAAATTCTCTTACTTAAAAATTTATTAGGTTTCACATGTTAAGAGTATTTTTTATTATAAATATATATAAAAAATTATAAAAATTAATATTAATTTTGGTATTAATATAAAATGAGTAAAAGTAATTAAATAATTAAGAAATTAAATATTAAATTTTATTTTTTTATAAATTTATAATAAAAAATATTTAATATATTTTTAATTTACATTTTTAAGATACAGATAAAATAAATTCAAATTTATTACCCAGGCCCAAGCCGGCTGGAAACAAAGGTTGGCTTTCCCGCGTGACAGCCGGGGAAGCGTCCAAACTGGCACAAATAGTTTCCCCCAGCATCCACGCACAACGCTGGAAACTGCAATACACGCGAACAGACAGATCCATTTTCCCGTCTTAGTTTTTTCAGGTCGGTGGAGATATTTATTTTTTTAAAATTATCTTTTCCTAATTATCCATTGAGATGGCTCCAAAAATATCTGAACAACAAAAAAACAAACGGGCGAGTTTGTCTATCCTCACATAGCTGGTCACGAGATTCTGTGACAGTCCAATAAAAATGCTTGAAAAACAGAAAAAAAACATCTACATTTCCGCTCAGATTTTTTTTTTAAAATACGGTAATCCCGTTATATCCTATTAATTTGAAATTGAATCACGACTAAACACAAAAAAAACTCTCTCAACTTTGTTTTTAATTTTTTTAAAAAAAATTAAACCATGACAAAATTAAAAAAATACTCTCTCGACATTTGTTTTAAATCAGACTCGAACTGTAAATTAGGAAATCAAGCTACTTATTCTGACCAACAGTACGTTGGTGTGCTTAGATTCTCGTCGTAAGTCTTACCATAAGATATAAATAACAGAGAAAAAGGAAAAATCATTTCTATTTTTTCCTGCTAAAAAACAGAAGAAAACCCTAGACTCACAGAGGAGCAAAACAGGACAGAGACCCAGATAGGTACCTATAAATGCATGACAAAAACGGGTGAGTACTCATCTCTGGTGGAGTCTGATATGGCGGACACCACGGCTTCCAAGCCTCAAACCAGCGACAAAAAGGAGCGCTTGAACGGTGGTCACAAGCTGGGTGCCGGTGGTGAGGGTGGCGGTGATGGGAGTGGTGTGGAGGATGAGGAGTGTGATGTGGAGGCATGGAGCACGCTCAGCAAGGCGTTCAAGCAGGTGCAGGTAGTACTCGATCAGAATCGGGACCTGATCCAGAAGGTGAACGAGAATCACCGCTCTAAAATCCCTGACAATCTCGTCAAGAACGTGGCTTTAATCGGCGAGATCAACTGAAATATCTCCAAGGTGCTGGGGATATATTCTGATTTATGGGTGAACTTCTCGGACATTGTGATATGCAGGGCATTGGTTCCTGAGCTAATCCAATTGGAACATGAGTTATTCCAGTAATTTCGTTGATCCCTCAGCTGTGTCTTTAACTGTGTCTGTTTGGGTCAATTTGTGGTTGATTGATTTAATAAAATTTGGTTCAACTGTTATGTGTTCTTGAGTCAGGGACTGTTCTGTCTTCTCTGGACTGAATTTATGAGTGGACCGACTTAGTATATTGTTATGGTGATGCTTGTGTCTCAATTATGATGCTTATGCTTATTTGGTGTTTGTTTTATCTCTTCCCTTTTTCCCCATTCTTTTGGGGTCTAAGGATTGTAGCTGCCGGACTGCTTTCTCTACATTATCTGCCCCGCAGACATTGTAAGGTATTTATCCTTCTATTCTGTTTTTTATTTTTTATTTTTTCCTCCTGAAAAACGTGTTTGTGCTTTAAATTTGGTGTTTCCATTCTTTCCAAAGGGCCTATGGAGTAGGGGTCCTTCAATTCTTGGTAAAATTTGATTGTGTTGATTTTGTAGTCTCTGATGCCACCCAGAAGGTTGTGAATCATTTAGATGTAAAGTGGTGAACGGTAAGTTGTCAAAGTTATTTTCTTGGTGTCTGCTAAACTTTCAATGTAACAGAGCTTTTTGATTTGTTACTTGTGCAGTAATTTTTGCGTTGTTCTAGAAAAAAGAAAGACATATAGAATCTCTATTTTTTGTTGTCGTTCAAGTTGTGGAAGATGTGGACATTGGGAAGAAATAGGTATAAAAATTAGATGGTAGAGTTAGCATCTGATTTTCCCTGATTCATTACTGTTAAGTACATGGTCATAGGGTTCCTGCAAGTACCCAGCTTCTAAAAAGCTAATCTCCTTTTCCTAAGTGTAGATTCTGCTCTCCTTGGACCATCCTTTGAACTGTCTTTTTCATTGGATGTCAAATTTATTGCTCTTACACTGTTTTAAGCAAATGAACTCAAGGACCACCACTGAGAGGGTGCATTTTCTTTCACTTGCATTATCCATATATGAAAACATTTTAAGTTTGGTTTAGCACTTATAGAAAGAGACAAGCAGCTATCTATGATCATTTTTATTACATTTTGTCGTCCTCTTTGTATGGTACAAAATCAGCATATCTATGCTATGATGTAAGGAGAATTTTATCGATAGAGTTCCCTATTTATTCCTGTATTACAGTGAGGGCTCTCTTTTTCTAGGATTAGGTAAAGCAGACAATGTATGGGCTTTAAACTGGTGCATGGAGAACTAGGAAAATGCAGCATTGGTCTACACAAGAAATCTTAAATTATGGGGTGTTTTTACTGAAAGAAGTGAGGTTGTAGAGTACATAGACACAAGCATACTTTTGTCTCTTGTTTTATGAAATCACTTTTTGATTTTCAGCTAGCTTTGGAG